CAGAGAGCCCGATGCGGGACTCGATCCTGGGACTCCAGGATCATGACCTGAGCCGAAGGCAGTCGCTTAACCAACTGAGCCACCCAGGCGCCCCAAACAAATTCTATTTCTTTACCTGCTTCTCTTAAGTCAGGGTTCAAGCTGCCTCCACCCTTTCCTGGATCATAGGTGGTCACTCCACCCTGCTGTGGAAACACTGGGGGACTCTCTCTCCATGGTCTGTTTATGAGTCTGTGTCACCAGGTACCGGAATGGAGGCTCCCACACACTCTGGCCCGAGTCCCTGGTGGGGGAGGCCAGCGGGGTCCCAAGGTGCCGCTCGCTTCTTGTGTTAGTCGGCCCGGGCTGCCGCAACAAAACCCCCAGCTCGGGCAGCTTAGATGACAGGTATTTATTTCCCACAGCTCTGGAGGTTGGAAGTTCTGGATGGAGGTGTCAGCTGATTGATTCCCTGCGGGCGAGAGCTGGATCCTGGCTTGGAGGGGGCCTCCTTCTTGCTGCCTCCTCACCTGCCCCTTCCTCTGTGCGCATGGGCAGAACCATCACGCGGTCTCTTCCTCTTTTTATAGGGACAGTCATCCTATCTCATTAAGGCCTTATGCTTGTGACTTCATTTAACCGTTAACCCCTTCTTACAGGCCTTGTCTCCGAGTACGGGAGGTGCAAATTCAACATATGGATTCGTTGGGGGACACAAGTCAGTCCATAACACTCCTCCATTGACACTACATAAGAAGGAAAAAATCAGAATCACAGGTCAGGACAACTTAGTAGTAGCAGTAACTTTTTATTTTTGTCTTGAGAAAAGAAAAGTATTGTGGTAAGAAAAATTTGCTTGGTTAATAGAGAGCGATGAGCATTATTAAAATGATAAAAAAAAAATATTGACCATAGAATTGCGATTGTTTTGAGTTAGTATATTTAAGTCTTAGACTAATGACCTCAGAAGAGGTGTGCTTCCCAGAACTTGTTTTTTCTTTTTTAAAAATGATAAATAGGGAGGCCAGAGAGTGGATAGCCAGCATATGGATAATAGATGTTCTTGAAAGAGAGCCCAGAACAAAAGGATCAGAAAGATTTAATGCAGCTGCTGAAAAAAGAACTGGATATGTATATTGAAAGGGCAGAGTGCCAGGCAAGATCAATGATAAGAATATTACACTGACTCCTGTCCTGTCAAAAATATATAACTATAGAGAGAACAAGGAAACCTGCTATGTGTCTACACACTAACAAAGAAACAGAATTCTGACTTCGCGAGTGTAGGACGAAAATGCCCAAGCCACAGTGGACCAAAGTCTAAGTTGATTTTGAAGGTGAGAAGTTGTGATAAAATACATATTGTAGCCCAACAGTGAATTTATGAAAACAAAGAAGACATTCAGAGCTGTGCAAAGGCTCAGAAAACATGTCACCTGTGTAATCTTCTTTTCAAATTACCTAAAGATACACTGACTGAAAGAAGGAGCAAAAAAAGAAGGAAGAAGTCACTGCAAGAAAAGACCAGCATTGATGTTGCTCTCATGAAGATAGATTATCGTAGTTTCAACTTGTGCTTTTCAATTTAGTAGATATTTGAAGTAACAATTTATATAATGTAAAAATAACAAAATAATGGCTTATATAATTGAATAAAATTAAAATAATACAAGTAGAAGTAAGCATTTAATAATGTTAATATATAGCCATATTATAAAATAGTGAATTCCTCCCCATTTGAATTAGGAAGCGGAGGGGCATAAAAAGTGACAAACACCTTGGCTTAAATATGTGGCTCATTAAAGATAATCTATTTTTGGCTCTGAATTTATTTATTTATTTTTAAAGATTTATTTATTTATTTGAGAGAGAAAGAGCACGAGCTGGGGAAGGGGCAGAGGGGGAGGGGCAGAGGGGGAGGGAGAATCTCAAGCAGACTCCCCGCTGAGCTCAGAACCTGATGTGCAGGGCTCTATCTCAGGACCCTGAGATCATGACCTGAGCTGAAATCAAGAGTCAGATGCTCAACAGACTGGGCCACCCAGGAGCCCCTGGCTCTGACATTTAAAAAATGAGTTAAAAACACATTTGGAAAACTTGCAGGTAAATATTAGAATTAAAAACTCTTACAAATGGGGCGCCTGGGTGGCTCAGTTGGTTAGGTGACTGCCTTCGGCTCAGGTCATGATCCTGGAGTCCCTGGATCGAGTCCCG